GGGGGAAAGCATTGAAATTAAGAAGGGTTGAAGAAGGCTTCCTGTAAAGATGGAATTTTAGTTAGGACTTAAAGGAAGCCAGAAAGGTCAGTAGTTGGAGCAGAGGAGGGAGAGTGATCCAGGCATGGGAGGGAGTCAGAGAAAATGTCTGAAGCTGAGAGATGGAGCCAAAAGGCCAGTGTCACTCCATCAGAGTATCTGTTGAGAAGTAAGGTAGAAGAAGACTAGAAATGTGGGAGGGGCTAGGTTATGAAGGGCTTTGAATGGGAAACAGAGCATTTTGTATTTGCTCTTGGTGGCAATAGGAAACCACTGGAGTTTATTGCAGTGGGGGAGGTGGTGACATGACTCGACCCATATTTTAGGAAAATTACTTTAGTGGCTGAATGGAGAATGGATTGAAGTGGGGAGAGTTGAGTCAGGCAGACTCACCTGCAAGCTATTGTAGTAATCAAGGCAGGAGGTGAGGAGGGCCTGCACTAGAGTAGTGATGGCAGTGTCAGAGGAGAGAAAGGAATGTTTTGGAGAGATATTCCAAAAGTGAGATGGACAGGCTTTGGTTATGGGGGATGGGGAGTGTATAGTAAGAGACAGAAGATGACTCCTAAGTTATGACCCTGAAGGACTGGGAGGATGGTGTTGCCCTCTACAGTAATAGGGAACGTATTGGGGGTGGGGATATTAGGGGGAAAGATAACGAATTCTGTTTTGGACATACTGAATTTAAGATGTCTGAAAGGCATTTGGAGATGGGAGGTCAGCAGAGAGATTGGGCAACAAAAATAGATTTAAGAATCATCAGTATAGAGATGATAATTAAATCCATAGGAGCTGATAAGCTCACCATGAGTACTATACTACATGAAGTAGTATAGAGGGAGAAGAGAAGAGAGCCTAGGACAGAACCTTGAGGAATACCTGTGATTAGAGGTTGTAATCATGATCCAGCCAAGGAGATAGAGAAGGAACAGTCAAATAGGTAGGAAGAAAACCAGGAGAGAATGGTATCTCAAACATAGAGAGAGAGAAGAGTATCAAGTGGGAGAAATCGATCAACAGTGTCAAAAACTACAGAGAAGTCAAGGAGAAAGAGGATTGAGAAAAGGCCATTGGATTTGGCAACTAAGGGATCATTATTAGCTTCGGGGAGAGCAGTTTCAGGGTAATAATTAGGTCAAAAACTTGATTGTAAGGGTTTAAGAAGAGAAAAGGTGGAGGCTTACAACCAAGAATAACTTAGTTATTTATCTAACCCAGGGTTGGTAGAGGGAAACAGACATAGAGGTGTTTGACACTGAGGCTGGATCAGGCCAGGAGCATATCATGTGCAGAGGACTCCAGTGTCTAGTGAGAGGCTGTGCACCTGAGCAGAGGTCCCAGACCTTTGCCAAGATCTGTGATGGCTTTATGGCTGTGTACTCAGTTTCTAGTCACAGTTCCAGGACAGACTGAAAAGGAGACCTTTACCTGATGGAGGGAGAGGGGTAATGTTATCAAGTAGGGAGGATCTGAGCTATGTATTAAGATAGAAGGAAGTTCAGAAGCAAGTAGCAGTAGTGTAGCTAAGACCTCCAGGAGCAAACATGATCTCAATTCTAACTTTTAGCCAAGACTGCAGAAGAATAAGGAGGGCAGGAAACCCAGGCCAAAGAGGAGTCTACAATTCTATCACTTAGATACAGCTAGTTGATAGGGGCTGAGTTCAGCAGCATTTTACTGTTGCTCAGACTGAAACTCAAGTCAGTAAGTAACTTGTAGAGCTCAGACAAGGGGAGGGGTAGCAGTTAGATTTTGCCCTGTTTTAGACCACTTTGGGAGCACTAAAAGCTTTCAGGTCCCCAACCTGAGCTGGCCCTGAGATTCTGAAACAAGTAAATACATTACCCCGAAGAAAACTGGAACAGGACCGACCCAAACTTATTATGGTGGCAAGGAAGCTCAAGACACAAACCCAGAAGAAAAGAATGATTGCAAAACACCTTCAAGCAAAGCCTTACAGAAGAAAAAAAAAAAAAAAACAACAAAACAGCTTGGGAACAAACTCAACTTGGATTTCTGGGAGAAATAAAGCAAGCATTTAAAATGTTTTTATAAATGAAATGAGTGTGCTTGAGGAAAAAATTGGAAGACAAATAAGAGCTATGATAGAAAGAATTGGAAAGGAAATTAACAACTTGGCACAAAGAGGTACAAAACTTTACCCAAGCATCAAACTTCCTGAAAATTTGAATGGACCAAATAGAAGCCAATGACTCCATAAGACAACAAAAAATATTAAAACCAAGTCAGAAGACAGGAAAAAAATGAAAGAAAATGTATGATTTTCACAGCAAGAACAAATGGCCTAGAAAACAGATTGAGGAGAAAAAATTTAAGAATCATTGGACTATCTGAACACCGTTGCAAAAAAAAAAAAAAAATAGCCTAAGCATTCTATTTCAAGAAATCTTAAAAGAAAACTGTCCAGATCTCTCTCTCTCTCTCTCTCTTTTGGAGTGGGGTGGGAGACTAGGCAATCATGGTTAAGTGACTTGCCCAAGGTCACACAACTAGTAAGTGTCAAGTGTCTGAAGCCAGATTTGAACTTAGGGCCTCCTGACTCCAGGGCAGGTGCTCTAGCTACCATGTCACCTAGTTGCCCCCAGATCCCTTATAACCAGAGGACAAAGTAGAAATAGAGTCCACTGATGATCTCCTGAAAAAAAAATCCAAAATGAAAACTCCCAGAAACATCATAGACAAAATCCTGAGTTCCAAGTTAAATATATATGTATATATGTATGTATATGTATGTGTATATATATATATATATGTATATAGCAAATAGCCAGAAAGAATTCAGGTACTGAGAGCCACAGTTAATAACAAATTGTTGGTAATTGTGTTTGTGCAAAAATCTTTTGATTTTTATAATCAAAATTATCTATTTTACATTTTATAATGCTCTCTATATTTTCTTTGGTCCTAAATTCTTCCCTTATTCACAAATCTAACAAATAAACTATTCCACGCTCTCCCGATTTGCTTATGGTAGCATTCTTTATGTGTAAATCATGTACCCATTTTGATCTTATCTTGGTATACAGTGTGTGATACCTAGTTTCTGCCATACTGTTTTCCAGTTTTTCAAGCAGTTTTTGTCAAATACTGAGTTTTTGTTCCAAAAGCTTGGATCTTTGTGTTTATCATATACTAAATTACTATGGCCATTTACCATAATGTAATGTGTACCTAATCTATTCCACTCATCCATCACTCTATTTCTTAGCAGTCCCAGATTGTTTTGATAATACTATGTGAGATTTGGTACAGCTCAACTACCTTCCTTCACATTTCTTTTCATTGATTCCCTTGATATCCTTGACCTTTTTTTCTTCCAGATGAACTTTATTATTTTTTTCTAGCTCTATAGAATAAATTTTTGGTAGTTTGATATGGCTCAGTCATGCACAGTTTAACAGCCTCCACTGTAAAGGAGCTGAGAACCTGGAATATAATATTTCAGAAGGCAAAAAATATAGGCTTATAGCCAAGAATAGCTTACCTAGCACAACTGAACATAATGCTACAGGGGAAAAAATGGACCCTTATTGAGACAGTACTTCTAAGTTCAAACCCAGGAGTGAAGAGAAACATAAAAAGATAAGCACGAATGAAAAGTGATAAGGGGCTAAGTGAAGATAAACTTATTTTTAAATATGGGGAGATGATACATGTGTTCCCTCTGAACCCTATCATCTTCAGGGATCATAGAGGGAGATTAATTACACAAGACCTGAGAGTGGTTCTGTTAGTTCTTGATCTTAACAGAAGAATGAAATAAGAGGGGAAGAGGAATACATTAGGTGGAGGGATGAAGGGAGAGAAAGGAAGGTTAGGGAAAATTATTTCACATAACCAGGGTTTAAAAATAAACATCTATACAAATAAGGGGAGCAGCTGACAATTGAACCTCACTCTCATATGAAGTGGTCAAAGGAAGGAGTAATATAGAATACACATGCACATAGAAATTCATTTCACTAGAGGGAAGAGAAAGGGGAACAGGAGGAATTAGAGGGGAGAGTAGATTAAGTAGATTAAGGGAAGGATCAGTCCTAAGCAAAAGTAACTCTAAAGATGTACAAAATATTTATAACTCTTTTTGAGGTGGCAAAGAATAGGAATCTGAGGAGGTACCTATAAACTGGGGCGTGGATAAACAAATTATGGCATATAAATGCAATGAATGGTTGGTTGTTGTCCTTTATTCTAGAAGAAGACCAAAATGACATCACTTTGTTGGGAGTCAAGGTACAGTGTGTCCTCCCCTGTGGCTGATCAGACCAATATGAGCTCAGAATGCTCTCCTACAGGTCGGGCACAAATAGTCCACGTGAACATTGTGGATTCTCTAAATTTGCACATCTCATTTCTTTTGAGCTACTACAGTTCTGCTTCACTCATAGAGTGAAACACACCTTCTTTGATGTGGGCACGCCATGCTGGGCGGTCCTGTACTAGTGTCTCCAATGTCTCCCAATCAGTTCCAAAGTTCTTCAGAGAGACCTTGAGTGTCATTGTATCACTTCTTCAGACCACCATATGAGCACTTGCCTTTCGTGAGTTCTCCATAAAATAATCTTTTAGGCAACTATACATTTGGCATTTGAACAATGTGACCAGTCCATCAAGAGCTGTTCTCTCTTTAGTAGTTTGAATGCTTGGCAGTTCACCTTGAGAAAGGACCTTAGTGTCTGGTACCTTATGTTGCCAGGTGATCTTCAGAGTCTTCCTAAGACAACTCAAATGGGAGCGATTCATTTTCCTGGCATGGTGCTGTTATACTGTTCAGGTTTTACAGGCATACAACAATGAGGCCAGCACAAAAGATCTGTAGACCTTCAGTTTGGTAGGCAGCCTAATACCTCTTTTCTTCCACGCTTTCCTTCGGAGCCTCCCCAACACTGAGCTAGCTCTGGCAATGCGTGTGTCAACCTCATCATCTGTGTGTACATCCCTGGAAAGTATACTTCTAAGGTAAGTCCACAACATTCAAAATTTCTCCATTTGCCTGTAACCAGTGGTTCCATATATGTTTGGTGTGGTGCTGGCTGATGCAGAGCCTGTGTTTTCTTGGTGTTAATTTTTAGGCTAAAATTAGCACAAGCAGCAGAAAATCGATCCATACTTTGTTGTAGCTCAGTTTCAGAGGCTACACTGAGTGCCCAGTCATCTGCAAACAAAAAATCATGTACCAACTCTCCCTCCTCTTTAGTGTTGATGTGATGGAATACTATTGTGCTGTAAGAAATGATGAAGGAGATGATTTCAGAGAAACCTTGGAAGATTTGTACAAACTGATATGGAGTAAAGTGACGAGAGTGAGAACAGTTTATTCAATGACATCAGTATGGTAAAGACAAACAACTTTGAAAGAATTAGGAACTCTCATCAGTATTTCCAGAGAAACAAATAATGAAATAGGCTTCCCATCTTCTGACAGGCAAAAGCGTTAAAGTGAAGAATGAAGTAAGTAGTTTTTTGGACATGGTGAATGTGGACATTTGTTTTGATTAACTACAGATGTTTGTAGTAGGTTTATTTTATTTTATTTTTCTTGGTATCTCAGTGGATTGGGGAAGGGGGAAGAGTGAGAAAGTAGGTTTTTGCTGATTTGTTTATAATACATATGTATATATATATATACATATATAATTTTTTAAAATGAGGATGTTTAATGGAATAGAGGACTTTCGAGTTTTATGATGAAAGATAAGAGCTAAGTAGTTACTTTGAACTATAAATACATGAGTTCAGAGAAACCTAGAAAAGTAAATTTATTTGAGCTATTGGAAGGAGCTGTATGATATATGATTCTTGCAGGGGGAAAAGATTACAAGTGTCCCTTCAGAATCTTAATGTCTTCAAAAGATACTGAGGGAGTTAAATAAGAACAGAGGGGGGAGAGGAGTGGATTGTTTCTGTCCTCTGTGTTTTAAGGGGACAAAGAGAGGAGAAGGTAAAAGGAATACAGTGGTGTAGAAAGGAGAAAGAAGAGATTGGAACTTGCTATTTCTCTTAATTGGGATGTATGAGAAGAAGAATATCAAATATCCAAACAGAGGAAGAGGTAGAGGAGTGGGCAGCAATGAACCATCACTCTCACTCTGGACAAAGGTGGGTTGAACACATACACAAAGAGTTTTGTGTAAAAATATATTTAGCTCGACAGGAAAATAATTTGGAGTAGTAAGGGTGCTGGGATTAAGAGGGATGATAATAACAGGGAAATAATTTGTTGTTGTTGAGTCATTAAGTTTTGTCCAGCGCTTTGTGACCCTATGTACTGTAGCATACCAGGTCCTTTTGTCCTCCACTCTGTCCTGAAGTCTGTCCAAGCTCATGTTCATTTGCTTCCATGACACTATCTATCCATCTCATCCTCTGCCAGCACCTTCTCCTTTTACTTTCAGTCTTTCCTACCATCACTCTTTTCCAGTGAATCCTATTTTCTCCTTATGTGGCCAAAATATTTCAGCTTCAGCTTCAGTATTGACTGAGGTGGGAAGATCTGTTAGGAAACTGGTACATTATTCTGAATGGTATGGGGGAGTCTGTACTAGAGTGATAGTGTAGAAATAGAGGGAGGAGGGACAGGTGCTAGAGAGAGGCAAAGAGAGAATCTGTAGAACTTGGTAACTAAAGGGATATGAATAGTGAAGCTTTATTATTCCTCTTTATCCATAGTTACCCCCATGACTTAGCTTTTTCTCCTTATCCTCATACTATTCTTTGACCCTCTCCTCCCTTTCTTTTACCCCAGTCCTTCCCAACCCTGTCCACCTTCCACTGTGCCTTCCGCAATTCCTGTTACAGTGTGAACCACTTTCCCTTCATCCTATACTCCTTTTTCTCAAATTCCTTCCTTCTACCTGCCCTCACTGGCAGGAACCCTCACGGGTTCCACCCAGACCACACTGCATCCATGGTTATCCCTCTTTAGTTTTATTTCACACCCCTCCCCAACCCCCAACTTCAAATCCCCTGCTCCTAGAGGGAGTCTGTCCAATCAATCAACCAGCCTTTAATTAAATGTTTACTAGTATTTGATTTGGTGCTAAATCCTGGCAATGCAAATACTTGGGGAAAGAAAGTTTTTGCCCTCAGGGAGCTTACATTCTTATAGTAGAAGACTCTACCTAAAAAGAAGTTGAAAAATAGAGGGAGAGAGTAGGTATATTGGAAGAAATGCTGAGAGTCTGCAGTGTAGCTCCTTGAGGGAAAAAGAGCTTGAGTACCCTGGGCACTATTCAAATAAGGGGCCTCAGGGTACCATATACTTTGAGTGTAGAGGGCAACGTAGTAGAAAATCAGGAGTGGAGTCTGGAAAGCAATGAAGATATGGCATGACAGGAGTCTGAATAAGTTTTGCTCCCTGCTGTCATTTCCAGACTTTGTCTTTACCTCCTTCAATCCTTGCCTTCTTTGAAAGCCCACTGAATCAGAATTTTTTTTATCTTATCCAAATTATGGTGGCTGTAGGATACCAACTAAATCATTCTCACATCTTTATCAAGAAATTTAGCATCTAGGGCAGCTAGGTGGCTCAGTGGATAGAGCACTGGCCTTGGAGTCAGGAGGACCTGAGTTAAAATCCTGCCTCAGATACTTATTAGCTAGCTGTGTGACCTTGGGCAAGTCACTTAACCCCCAATGCCTCCAAAAGAAAAAAAAAAGAAAAATTTAGCATCTAGTTCATTATTTTCTTCTCCCCAACTCCTACTGTTATACTAGGGGACTTTACTAGTCACATAGATGTTCTCTCAAATTCTCTAATTTCCCAATTCCTTAACCTCTTTAATGGCCTTCAGGGATGGGGAACCTTCGGCCTCGAAGCCACGGATTCAGTCAAAGGGCCACATATGAGTACCTAGAGGGCCAGTTGTGGTCTTGAGGCCAAAGGTTCTCCACCCCTGAGCCCTATACCTTCACTTCACCACAGGCATACATAGGGATGGTCACACGCTAGATTTCATCATTACCCAAAAGTTTTCTACTTCCCTGAAAACTTTTAAAGATGAGGAAACTGAGGCAAACAGGGTTTGGAACTCTGGTCCTCCTACATCTGATATTGAAGAAAAAATTATTAAGGCTGTGCTCTGCATTTTAGTTACACAATTTAGTCTGACAATTTTATTTTATTTAACATTAACCTGATATCCAAGCCATTAATCCGATATCTAGCTTAGTGAGAGATGTCCAGACCAGCCTAGCACCTCCTACCTTCATGCCCTGAGACATATTCCCACGCCAAAACAATTAGAGGTAACATTATAGGAATCTTGAAAAATATATACACAATATATAAAAATACAATTTTGGGTTACTATTTCAGAATAGTTAAATAACGATGGTCATTATTCCATTCTTTCCTTGACCATTCCCTTCAAGAATTTAAAAGGGACTCTTTGTGAACAGTATCAAAAATCTCTTCTGACTGTTGAAAATTATAGTAGCTAGCCTTTATATAATATTTTTAAGGTTTACAAAGCTCTACAAATATTATCTCACTTCATTCTCACAATAGCCCTGAGAGGTAGGTATTGTTATTCCCATTTTACAGATGAGGAAACTGGGGCAGAAGGCAGTTAAGTGTCTTGCCCTGGGTCCAACAGCTAGTAAGTATCTAAGGCCAGATTTGGACTTAGACCTTCCTAACTTCAGATATAGTACTCTCTGCACTGAACCTTTTTTGCTGCATCTTTCAGAATCTCTTCTGAATATTAGAATATCCTAAATATTTCATTTGAAGAGAATTGGGCACTTTCTTTGGTAAAGTCAAGTCTACAAACAAATTCCCTTCTATGACCCTGGGAAAGTCATTTAACCCTGTTTGCCTCAGTTTCCTCATCTTTAAAAGAGCTGGAAAAGGAAATGGCAAACCACTCCATTGAATTTGCCAAGAAAACCCCAAATGGGGTCCTAAAGCATTGGACACAGCTAACTAACTAAACAACAACAAAATATGCTAAGTGTTGGCGATACAAGGAAAGGCAAAAAACATTGCCTTCTCCCAAGGTAATCAGGACATGCTAACAACTGTGAACTGACCAGATATCTGTTGAATAAATCATAGGTAATCACAAATGGAAGGCATTAGCATTGTGAGGGATTGGAAAAGGCTTCTTGGAGAAGATAGAACTTTCTCTGAGACTTGTAGAAAACCTGGAGGCAGAGATGGGAAAGGAGAGAATTTCAGGCATTGGGGGGGGGGGGGGGGGGGGCAGTGGAGTAATGCCTGGAGACAGGAGTATCTTATGTGAAGAACAACTAGGAGGCTAGTATCACTGGAATCAAAGAGTATGTGATAAGTAGTTAGATGTGAGAAGATTTGAAAGATAGGGAAAGGACCATATTATAAAGGCTTTTGGAGCAAAATAGAGGATTTTATATTTGACCCTAGAGATAATAAGGAGCTACTGGAGCTTATTGAACAAGGGAGTGACTGGGACAGACCACACTTTAGAAAGATGAATTTGGTCTGGAAGATTGACTGAAGTAGGAAGAGGAGGCTAGGAGACCATCTTTGGGTGGGTCACAGGACAATCCCCTTAGGGGAAGAAGACTGCCCTTAGCCCTAGTTGAAGCTAGAGCTCTATCTATGCTTGGGAAGTAAAAACTATGATCTTAACTTGGTGGAGGTATTCTTTGTTCTTGATTTAGTTTCCACTTTTTATGTGTTTCCTTAAGAAAAGCCTTTTGTCCTTGATCTATTACCTACCTTTCTAGAGGAGGTGGGAGGCAAGCCTAAAAAGGGGTTTTAGACCAAAAACTAAACCAAACTAAAAAAAAAAAAGTGGTTTTGTTCTTTTTTAAATTTGCTTTCATACCGAACATAACCTCCTATCATTCTACCTTTCCCTATACTTCACTCCTCTTAAACCTATTTTTCACCTTTGTGGAGATCCTCAATCCTTCTCCTCTTGCTACTTTCTCAGAACATTACCCTTTCTCTGACTTCACTTTCTTCTCGCTTT